GGACTCTGGGCAGCTTACATCAAATTAAAATCATAAATACATGATTAAAAGTTATAAAAAACCCCCACACTTACAGAGATAAAGAAGAGATTAAAAGATCCGAGAGGCCGATAGAGGCCACACCAGGCCGCTAAGGGGCTAGCCAACCCCATTTCTGACATTTTCCCTCCCCGCCCCAGGCCAGATGGCAGAGCCAAGTCTTCAAATCCCTCCGATTAAGTACACAAGTGTGTTACCAGCTTCCCCCTCCACAATATACTCTCTTCTAGGAGGGGATGGACCAGCCCTGGATTACCATTAAGCAAAAAAGCAGTGCTGAGGGTACCTAGAGAAAGGAGGCACCACAGGGTTTCCCCCCCCCCCAGCTATCATGCCCTTAACTCTTTCACTGCTGCACTCAACTTTAGTTTTCAGCACTTAGTGAGTCTTCACATCTTGTCAGTTAAGTAATAGAAGGGCTGAGGGGCACCATTGTTGGGCTTGGCTTAGGGCATCAGTTGGTCTTAATTCCTGCCCTGAGAAGAAATGTTAATAGACCTTTTTCTTTCACATGTTCAAGGATCATGGAGGAAGAGCAGAGATATGCTGTACATGCAGAGGAAAGAGGAACACTTGCTGGTTCATCCCTGGACATTTATGTGGTGGAAGCACAGGTCTGAAAAAATCTTCATTGGTATCAGTGGAATGTACTTCTTAGCAATGGGAATCCTTTCCTCACTGCATGGAGAATTCAAGGGTTTTTTTCCAGAGAATCTATGAAAACTCCCCCTTCAGGACTTCAGCCACAGGGCTGAAGGGGAATACAGGTAGTCCTCATTTAGTGACATGTTAGAACCCTTATTAAGTGAAGCGGTCACTAAGTGAAATTGCAACTGTGCTTATGATCTTACTCCCTTTGCTTTACAGACCTGCAAAGCTTTCCTTTGCTTTACAGACCTGCAAAGGTCATAAATGCAAGGATTGGTTGCAAAATTACTTTCTCATCACCATCGTAACTGCGAACTATCGCTGTATGAGGCAGTCACTAAGTGAGGACTACCTGTATTAGGAAAGACCCAGCACCTGCTGCCTACACCCCACCATACATTCAGAAGTTGACCCTTTCCAAACTCTTCTGAAAGAATCAAGAGAGGATGTACAAAATGATGCCAAGGCATGATAATGCATAACACTGAAAAATGACTGAATCACAAGCCACAGAAACCAATGGTAGTTTTATAGTACATCAGTATTGCTAAGCATAGCTAAAGGAAATTTATAGTTTTCATAATATTAGCTCAGTATATCAACATAATCAATATTTTACAAACATGGCTTCCCAATATAATTTATTTAGACATCTTATCATAGGCAGCTACAGCAGAAAGAGCCCCCCCATACATTCCATGAGGATTGCCACACTAAAAATTTTTTTTTTTAAATGCAGAAATTATAATTCACGTTTATATTACAGAGTATGCCAGAGATCTCAAGATAAATATATACAAAATAAAAGTTGGAAATTATATCTCTATATCTATTCAGCTATACTCTGAGCAGTGCAAGGTGAAAAGATCAGGCCACCATTTTAATTTCCCACAATGCTCCCTTAATTTTAAACATGGCAGACCTGCAACCTTCCCAGTGAACAAATCTATTTATTGGTATAACTCATACATGGTGTCTCTGGAAAGGACAATGCACACTAACTATAAGTGTACAGAAAAGACCAGATAAGACAAGACATATTCTGCATAAATCACTGCAAAACTGAATAACTAATCCGTAACGTGGTCCCAATCCAATGTTAAAGTCAAGGGAAATTTAAACGACCTGTGGAGGAAAAGCCTTCTTTCACTGAAGCCTGTCACAGTGTTTAAAAGGTAGCCTAAAGCTAAAACAAAACAAAGAGAACACGTAGAGAATGGGTAACTTCCCCCCCCACCCCACTTTCTGGTCCTAACCGCTAATGAGCGTGCCCTACGTCAGGGATTTTCACAGTATTTCAGTTCTATCCACAAGCAAATGAAATTGAAGAGCACAATTTCAAATTAGGATCTTAAGACTTGCAACCATTCATACCTTGCTTGTTTTAAGGTTTTGTCCACAATATTTTCAACCTTTTCAACATAAGGCAACATATAGGAAAAGAAAAAAAAAACCAAACAAATTATACAAAAACAGATCTTAATGGGATTCAGTCTGCTGCATTTTTTTCTCAGCAAAAAACCCACAAAAAACTCAGCTTAAACACAGTAGCTGTTGCCGTTTTTCATTTGTAGCATAAAAAGACAAGACAGTTTTCACTGTAAAATAAAGGCCACGTAATGTACATTCTTACTGCATTGGCCTCAATGTTCTAAGAGTGAGAGGAGGTCAATTGCTTCTTTGAATGCTTGGCATCATTGTCAAAGAGCCTGTCCCTAAGACAAATGCATTTAATGAAACCAATTGTACATCTACCAGAGCCAGAAGCTGGCATTCATATGGAATTACGGCTGAAACTGCACCATGGTTGGCAGAAAATAATTGCCTTTCTTCCTGGCAGACTCATGCTTTGCAAAGCTTTAATTGTAACCGCCCTACAGTTTGGTGGGTGAGATGACTACAAGCATGCGGGTGACCAAAAAGAGAGAGAAAGAAAGAGAGAGATTGAGAGATTAATCCTGTATATTTAAGGCATTATATGAGGGCTTCCAAAATAAAACTGGAGATCTTGCTGTTGCTGGACAGTCCCATACAAGGAAGAGATCTCCAGAAACTCTCTTTCCCAGCAGAAGTGGACATCTCAATTTTGCACCCAGGGCTCCAGATTGAAGTGTCTACAAGTATTTTTCCTGAGTAATTCCTAGGATTAATGAAAGAATATTTGCCTATGATTGATACATATCTCTTGAACTTGAAGCAAACCATTCACAACAATGGTTATTTTAATCATGGGAAAATCATTCTATAAGAGCATGAAGACACAGTGAATAATCCAGATTCCTGGTGCCTCTTGATAGTGGCAGCATACGGGTGTATACGCATGACTACGTATACATATGCACATTCACATACAGAGCAGAAGAGAGAAAACACTTTAGCAAAAGTGTAAGATACATCATAGGACATTTCAGACAATTTGATTCTTCCAAAGGTCATTCCTGTGGTGCGGCACAGAAGGTCCATGCAAAATGCAAGCTCTGCCCTTGTGGACAGAAATAGTTGCCACAAGCCTTTTTTCATTTCCGATCCACCCACCCAAAACTTCCTTCAAATCAAATAGCTGATATTTAATATTCATAGCTCATATATGGCATATGTGACCCCTTTAACGTGAGCTTTATAACTGGATGTCATTGCTTTCTGCCTTCCCCAAAAGTGTGGAATGCAACTCGCTCCAAAAGTGAGAAAGCCAGAAGAAGCAGGTAGACCGCTAGTTCTCTTGTCAACTCTTCGGTTTTGCTGCTGTCTCAGTGGGAAGGAGAGAAAGGCCCTGGCTGACTTCTATCTACAGGGTGAAAACAACTTAAGATTTATTTAAAAATTCCACACATTCCCCTGGCATGCTTACCAAGATAGTCTGAAGTAAGAATGCTTAAAAAGAGACAAGCTGTTGGCCTACCTAGCCTAGTGAGCAGCAGTTCTCCAAGCTCATAGATCGAGGTCTCTCGCACAACCCTGATGTCTCAAGTCAGTTTTCTCTGGCACCAGGGTTTGCATCATGGACCCCCTACATGCAAAGCACATGCTCAGCTGCTAAGTCATGGCTTCTCCCGAGAGTCTGAAACAGCAACTAGCAGTCTGATCTTCTCATACAACCTGACCTAGCCTTGTTTCACTAGTTTTAAATAGATATTTTTGTCCCTTTCAAAAATATGGCTGGTTAAGTAAAAGACCAGAGGTTCACCTCATTAGATGCCTATAAAACCATCACTACTTATTCAACGGGCTTTCTACAACTCTTGATTTTTTTAGTGCAGCTTTTCTGAACCCTCTCCCCCATATTTCTATAAAAGCAAAAATCTGTACATCTGGATATGTCATTAATCAACAAGACAGGAGAGAAGCAGCTTGCAGCTGTCTACACTAATTGCACCTTGAGATCCAGGCCACAGTCCTCTTAATCATCTCCAAGCAAGGCAATCAGCTCAGAGGAAGCTTTCACAAAGTCTCTGCTAATCAGGCGCTTCCTCCCTTTAGCAGTCATTCTATATGGGTGTGTGTGTCTAAGAATGATTTTGGCTGAAGATGTATTCCAGCTAAGTTAAGGATAACAGAAGAACTGAAGAAGAAATCAAATAAGTTGGAATCTTGATAGCTGTAATCAATGCCTTGAATTACCAGCTCATTCCTTTGTGGTGATACATAGAAAAGATACCAGCCTTGTGGAAAATGAAGACGTTTTCTTGCTGTTCAGTTCATCCTGCAGTGGTATTAGAGAGGAGAAATTTCGGAAATTTGTTCTTGCATGAAACTTTAGGCATTTAACTAGAGACAAAGGATAAATATGAGCATTTAGAAGGCTGTACAGTTCACTCCATGCAGACGAAAGAAAAACTGTCTCGTAAACTGATCTTAACACATGAGAGATACAACAAGGCAGTTGTATAAGGGCAGAATCGTAAATAGTCCCCTGAGCACAGCAGCCTACTTTGCCACCATATAAGACTGAAGGTTTGGCCTTATGCATCATGTTAACTCTGCTCTACTTCACAATGGTCTGTTGAGAAAAAGAGTTCTTTAAAAAAAATTCTGGCATGAAACCAAAATGAAGCAAAACACTTTATGACTCAGCATGATGTGTCAATTTGGTCTAGAGTCTGTTGGAAAAAGAAAACATAAAACTGTGGAATGGGGGGATGGTGGGGGGATTCTCCTGGGAAACTGAAGAGAACATGGCTTGCTAGGATCCCGGATAAGAGCACTCCGAGCTGCATCATCTGGCTGCCTCCCTGAATATGATGTCTTTCAGATAGGTTGGGACTTGGAACTGATGCTGGCTCAAATAATGGGGGTTTATACCTGGCCCAGGAGAAGTCAGGGATCCCAGAGGGGATTCACTTGCAGAAGGTGCTTTTCAAAATATACAAGCATGCAGGCAGCACCTTTTCCAGCTGACAGAAAGAGTCTGGTAGCACCTTTTCCAACTAACAAATGTTATTGAAAGGCATCAGCTTTTGTGAGCTCACGAAATCTGTTAAAGTTAGAGCAACAAAATAAAATGTGTTTGTTGGAAAAGGTGCCACCAAACTCTTCCTGTTTCTATGCTACCATTGACCATGGCTCTCCACCTACAAAGCATGAATGTATAAAGCATAAAGCACAGACAGTGAACGTGAATACAGATTATAAATGCAAGCACCTGGAGGAGGAGGAGGAGGAGGAGGAGGAGGAGGAGGAGGAAGAATCTTGAACCTAGCTTCACCCTTCC